CCAGAATTTAGGGCCAGACAGGATGGCCGCCAGGGTAAGTTGCAGTCCCAGCACATTTATAACATTATTTAATGTATGAATTTAACGATTGTCTTGTTCCCCCCCCCTGTTAAAGCCATCACGGATAAACAATATATGTCTGACATTTTGGCCACAATTTGATCAAGTATTTTATCTTCTTATATTCGCTGCAGTTAAGTCGTGTGAACTATTTTTTCCTAGCAAGCCAATGGCTGGATTTGAGCAAAATTGCCAGATGAGTCCTGAACGCATATTTCCCAATTGCGTTGAGTCCTGATACACCGGAATTGAAGACAGACCACTGACTAGGCTCGTGAGTGAAGCACTGTAATTAATAGGTTATTCTATGGAGCTGAGGGCGTCTTCAGAAAATAACCAATGCCATCAAAGCGCATGAATTGACCAGCCGAATGCCAGTCAAGCCCATTTGAGCATTTGGCATGCGCAAACAGGACACAACCTATTGCTCACTGCGGTTTCCCGCCTAATTATCTAGTTTCCCCTTTAACTCCTTAACACTGTTGGGTCCCATCGCTTGCAAAATTTTTGTCTACGAGCTCTCACTTTACTAACCTGGCGACGGTGTTTTCCATCACCTCGCTTAACTTGATTTTATTCGTCCTTCTGCGCAGCAGTTTATTAATCGCATGAGGGAAAAACACCGCCAGCAGGTTAAATCACTTCACCTTTGTGGTTGGTTGGATTTCGTGTTTAGCCTCCTTTTACACCATCGATCAGTCAGATTAACGACCAGACCAGACGCCGTTATAATTTCTACAAGTATATACGAGTTTTGATCGACAACAAGGTCAATTGATTTACCAGTCAATGAGCTCACACGGTTCTGAATCCTATCCTATGCTAGCAGGCAACATTAGAGAGGAAGACGGAACCTAGGGCAGTTTGAATGCAAGGAAAGCTTAGAATTGTCATTCTATTTACCAACATATTTCAATATTCTCCATAGTTCTTCAACAGAGCAGTGTTTTCAGTTGATGAATGTTGTTTTAGCAAAATGTATGATTGGTGCTCAGACCCAGAGGATATGATAGTTGCGTTCGCACTGATAACAACAGCGTCTATTGCATGGCTCGGTGGTCATGAAACTAGAATGCCTGCACTAGTAACTGCGCCAAGTATAGTTATGAATCGACTTGCTTGAGTCAGTCTCCATGTTCTTAATCTTGGTAGTCAAATCTTCATCCGCGTCCTAATTAATCGCCTGAAATTTCATCTGGTTCTTGGACAGCTCACAAAACCAGCCTTTACACTAGCACATTTAGTGGCCACCCCCGTCTGGTTTCACCCGCCAATAGAAGCGGCCGTTCTCAAAATGTCCAGAAATATAAGCGCCGCGTACGGTGAAAGTGAAATGGTCACCTCGTCTAGCCATGCTCATGGCGCCACTGTCAATCAAGGTATTCGCCCATGGCTTACTCATATTGCTCATCTGAATGGATCGTAAACTCAAGTAAAGTCAAGTTGGCGGAAACTTTGCCAGATTTTACTCATTATTAACCCACAAGAAAGAACTGCTGACCAAAATTTGTCGAATTTTAGTGGCAAAG